TATAACTGTATTTAATAAGAATCTGTTACATAATCATATTGTAATAACCTATAACATTATAATTATAATTGGATTTGTAGTGGTAATCTGTATTATGCATTTGATTGCGGTGAAACCCCAAGTATTATACGTAGTTTGGAGGCCTTGTTTTACATTTTAAACCATATGTATTCGTAATTATATATTTTTTTCTTATAAGAAAATGCATCTGGTTAATATTTAGCCGAGTAATTAAGTAATTACACTATTTTTTATCAACAATCCATATGATTTTTGAAGAAAATAGCTGTATAATGTAGATTTTGTTAAACTTATTATTGTTATAACTTTTTTATTAGTTAAGATACAACTTTTTACCCAATAACCTTTTCTATTGGCCATATTTTTGGATTAAAACTACGTTTTAACCGATGTCCTATCTCGTACCGTTATCGAGCTACAGTCGTTTCAATGCATAGCGCGTTCCGCCATCTTTGCCCCCCTCCCCCCAAGTTCTCGACCACCTGAAAAGTAGACGACATGCATATTTTTTATCACCACAGTCCATATTACAACTATCAGCAAAGATATTTGATATTACTTCTATGCGACACTCACAAATTAATTCTACTTTCGGTAAAAAAAAACTACACGAAAAGTCCATTTTTACATATTTTATACAATAACTTGTTTATTTATAGAGATACGACCTCGGACTCAATAACCATTATTGTAGTCCACATTTTTAGAATTACAACGACATTTTAACCGATGTTCTATCTTTTACCGTTATCAAAATAACAGCGTTTTAATGCATAGTGCAAACCGCCATGTTTGCCCCCCTAAGTGGGGGGCCACCTTATCGACAACTTTTTAAATAGGCGACATACGTAATTTTGATCACCTGGCTGTTAATGATTTAGTCACATAGTCCATATTACAATAATCAGTAATAACATTGCGTACTACTTTCATGCATGCTCAAACCCCCTCAGCTCCTGTACTAATAGTAGGACCTAAACTGAAAGTAATTTATTATTATAATAGACTGTACGTAAGCTTGTACCTATAACACAAACATTAACTATCACTTAAAAATTATTAAATCACATTTATCTATTACATTCAAATTAGACTATAACATAACAATCTTAACACAACTATATGATCAATATAATAGTACTTCATCATACGAGTACCTAATGTCCACTAATTTTTGTTTGTTTATGCTTGCAAATCTCCCTATCAAAAACAATGTCTCTCTTAATATGGTTTATTATGGTTCATATAGTGGGCTGACATTTATGAAACGTTAATGAATTATTTCTAGACATAGGCCTACCTTTTTACTTACACTATAGACTATTTTATTGTGTAATCCTTATGGATGAGCAAAATTATTGCATGTTTTCTGGTAATATTTTTTTATATTTTAATATAGCGCAAATCGTATAGTCTACTATATACAGCCTAAAATTAGAGTAAAATATTTTTGTCAACATTAACACATTAATCAGCAGACTTTTCAGGGTACTATAAAAGCTGCAATTGAACCGTGGCAATCTTAACTGAAATTCATGAAACACTAATAAAAATAAACAATAAATTAACTAGGGGTGGGCGAGTAGTGATTTTTCAATTCGAGTCGAGTATTTGAGTAGAAACTCGAGTATCGAGTCGAGTAGTTGCGCGTTAAGTAGGCCTAGGCCCTGGGTTTAAGCTGTGGTAGTATTTTTAGCATCTTGCTATTCACAACTTAAAAATGCTAAGTTTACATTGTTTTGCAGGCTAGGTCTATGGCAAATTTTCTACAAATGAAATTGAAAGATGTTATGTTCAAACAAATGTAGTATTAGCCTACTGGAATTTTTTGTTTTAAAAGCTTAAGTTATTGAATAATATTTTTTCTACAGTTAACTTAGTTTTTGTCTTTGCAGAGAGTTTGCAGCATTTTGCTGAAACAAATTTCATCCTAGCCTAAACCCTGCCTAGGCCTAAAAAGGTAGTTTAAGTACTTAAGTTATACCAAATTTTCTAAGTTATATGGTTGCTAATTATTAGTACCTCCTACCTTAGGCCTAATAAAAAATTTGGCCTACACTACTTGTTGACTGCAGCATTAAATTATTTAGGCCTAGGCCTACACATCACTTGTTATTGTGTGTTTTATTTTTCCTTGCCTTTAATTCCTCCTCACTAACATGATAGTCAACCTAACTAACTAACTTAATAAGGTAACTTTAAGAATAATTTCAATTCAAATAAGAAACAGAATTTATAAAAATAAATTTATTTATAAAACAGAAAACTAATATCAAACTACATATTGTATCACAAGTTAAAAACATCAATATGCAATTAGGTATTTTAAAATAATCACTTAGATAAGCACTTCATCTGTCTTAAGTTTGAAGGTTATTGGTATTAGGGCTATCCTCTTCACTCAGTCCATTTATAAGAATGATCAAGTCACTCGTCTCTGACAGACTGAAAATATCAAACAAAAACACAGTAGGCCTATTATCTCAAAATAAAATCCCACATTAAACACTTAATTTAAAATTAAACACATTTCACTGTAGCCCGGTATAGCCTATTTGGCCTTTCTTTATAAACTCACATTTTCTAGGTTATGTTACAATTCAAACTGTCGTTGTCATGTTTCTGCCACCAGATTGAAAATTTCACAATCAAAATCACAAACAGAATATGTTTATTTTACTTTCTATTAAACTTCCACTAACAAAATTAATTTTATTTTAAGTTACAAATTCACTTCAAAGTAAAAATATTCAAAACTGACATTGACATAACTTCAATCACTCCAATCCATTGTTTTGTTGTTACGCCAGCTGTCACCATATCTGCCCTCTCTCTCTCTCTCTCTCTCTCTCTCTCTCTCTCTCTCTCTCTCTCTCCCTCTCTCTCTCTCTCTCTCTCTAGTCAGTCTGCTCATTCTGCTTCTCTTTTGTTCTCCCATCAAACAGCTGTTTCACAGGGCTGACGTTGCCATATTTATTTATCATTACACCATTATGGTGAATGTCGGTAAAATTATCATAAAATTGCTATAGCTTTTATTTCGTAAAAAAATTAATAGTTTGAGTAATTTTAATCATGTTTATGTAAACTGATTAGAAAATCAATTATACTTATAGTTTGTTTACGCCAATACCACAGTTGTAAAAGTACAACAATTATCGTCCATCTGGCAACACTGAGTTTAAAGTGGAACTGATCTTTTCTTTCTGCCAAGACCCAATGAGATTGCGTCATTCAAATGCATCGATGTTCCTTGCAGTAACTTATCGGTTTGTAAAACTAAACACCAATACCGATTTATGTGAAAAATATTATGCTACAACAGGTTATTTTTATTTGTTGTATTTCTATGTTTTGGTATAAAATATTTTGTTATTTCTATATTTTGGTATAAAATATTTTTATGGCAGTTCAAACTAAATCTGATACTGTACTTTATAATGTCTTCAAGAATCGTCTGCTATTGTTATACTAGTCACGAGACTCCCTTGTTGACTATCGACTATTGCAGTTCGATAGATTCATTCAATGCTTTATTTCAATTTACTGTATCGTTATCGAGACGTATTGTTGACTGTTGTTGTTTTAGGAAAGTGACAGTCTGTTAGTAGTCCTCTTGCTAGCTCCGCCGAATGACGATGGGTGTTTGTTGAACATTTGGTTTACGCTGGTCTAACATATATTTGGTTAGATAGTTGTTTTTTGTAGGAATGGGGATTAAATAAGGCATCAACACAAAACAAAATATAATTTATTAAATATGGGTGTAGAAAATCGTAAAGTGGCACTATTTATAACTACTCGACTCGAATTTTAGAGTAGTAATTACTACTCAACTCGAGGTCGAGTATTTGAAAAAACTCGAGTAATTACTCGAAGGTCGAGTACTCGCCCACCCCTAAAATTAACAAATGTAAACAAATATAAAATAATATAATAAAATTAACAAACAACATTCGGCTCACCGGCTACGTAGCCGTCAGACGTAGCTGTGGTGTGACCAGTGCACTGGCGACGTATTAATTCACCAAATACGTCTGCAGACGTGTGAACAGGCCTTTAATGATGTTTGAAATAGTTTTGTTTCAATAAAATAACTGCTTTTCCACCAGTGGGAGTTTAAGGACCAAATTTTAAGGAAAACCAAGTAGAGGAATTTTAAAGATGGATGAGCCCTGTGGATCTCCCAGTTCATTTTTCTCATATTTCCAACAATTTTGTATTGACTTATGTTGATTTCCCAGGGGTTTTATTACTGCCCATCTGATAATATTTTTCAACATTTTAGTGTAAATTAGATGTACAGTAGAACCTCTTTAATCCGAACTAATTAGGACCAGGGGTAGTTCGAACTATTGAATAGCTCGGATTACAGAACATATTGTTGTTTTTACATACGAACAGCTAAAACATGGCTATAATTGATCAAAATTATTTTGGGAAAAGTTAAAAAATGTTTTATAAAGTAAAATACAGTGTTAATTTAATACAGTAGTAAACATGGTAAATAAACAGTACTGTAAATTAAATACAGTATAGAATAAAGAACTGCTGTACTGTGTATAGAGTACCGGTACAGCAATTAGGGGTTCAAATTAGTGGATGTTCGGATTACGGGGGTTCGGATTAAAGAGGTTCTACTGTACATGGCAATTGTATTGCCTACACAAACCCTACATGTAAGGGAGTTATTATCCAGTGTAAATAATCAATAACTTTGAGTTGATTTACTGTACTCAATGATTTTGAGTTTCGTAATAAAATAAATATTTACACCAGAGTCCTGCAAATTCAAACTAATTGGAATCAGGCCTTGTTTGGATTAGCAAATTGTTCAATTTGCATTTCAATTTCAACTAATCTTCTGCAAAAAATGGCATTAAAAAATTAATTTTCATGTCTGTCAAAACTGTTTTGTCATTTAAATGTGTGTACTCATATAGGTCCGTTATCTGTAATTAAATTTGATTCTGTTTTAGAAGTTAGTTCTTAGGATGCTGCCTATGCTCCTTACCCCTGCAAAGCTACTGCAAACGCTAATGAAGGATCTTCCTAGTATAACTAGAAAAGACTCAGAACACAATATGCTGTTATTCCTTCCAGCGATAAGGAGTTATCTCCAGGGTATTGATCTCAAGACTTTGGTTGAGATTACCACTGAATATGACAACCTCTTTCTGCTCTCCAATAAGGTAAAGAGCTAGTAGTTGTTTGTCCTTCATAATAATTATGTTGCTGTAACTGTCACTTCTCACCCGTAAATTTTTGTTTTACAAAATCGTACGTTGATGAGAATTTTATCATTAGCTAAGGAAGTGGAACTATACAGGGTGAGTTTTAACTGTCCACCCCTCCAACATTTTTTACCTTTGTTCAAAAATCAATCCCAGACCATTTCCAAACATTGTTGGGTAATAAGTACTTCATTTTGACATGGTGATTATTTCCGGCCACCATCTTGGATTCGCCGTATTGGATGTAAAAAATTTTTTTCCACGCAAAGGTGGGGTTGTGACAATTTATTTAAAACTAGATTTTTACCCTGACTACAATGCCACAATCCGTTTTTCAAAATCTTGATCCATTCCAAAGTTATGAGGATTTTGTATAACTTTATTTTTAGCCCATTTTAACATTATGCATTTACAAACTATGACCATAATCTCGACATAAGTGCTAGATAAAAATAACAGGGTGTCAACCGACCTAGTAAATAGGGAAATATGTGTGAATTTTGTATATTACCGGGAATTTTCAATTAGCTGTGATCGCGCATAAAGATGACGTATCCATGACCGCGGGAGACGATATTGATGTCCAAACGGCCGTGAGATTTGTTAGTGATTTTGCTGCGATCGCGCATGACTACGATGACATTTCCGTGACCGCAGGAGATGATGATGTTCAAACTCCAAATGGCAGTGGGATTATTTTATGATTTTGCCGCTATCGCGCATGACGATGATGGCATTTCCGTGACCGCAGGAGACGACGATGACGTTTCCGTGACCTGACAATGACGTTTATGTGACCACAGGAGACGATGACGAAGTTCAAACGCCAAACGGCTGCGGGATTATTTAATGATTTGAACTGCAGATGGCCATTGTGCTGGAAAACATATTAGTACACATAAATACACAAAATATAAATTTACAACAAATATGTGCATACACAAGATAAATATTTATATATTAAACTGAAGTGTAGTTGGAGAACCTCTACCACACGCTGTAAGTCCAAGTTCCTATGAGATTGGCTACAAAACTCTTGATGAGTGTATATACAGGGTTAGTTTTAAATGGGTTCCCCCCCCCCTACTTTTTTCTACATTTCTAAGATATTAACTCCGGACCACATCAGATCATCGTAGAGTGGTAAGTACTTCATTTTGACTGGGTATACATTTTTGGCTGCCATCTTGGATACAAAGTTTTTTTTTTCAAATGTAAAGGTAGGGTTGTGACCCATTATTTCAAATTAGAATTTTATGCTGATTACAATGCCGCAATTAGTTTTAAAAAATCTTGATTGGTTCTTAAGTTATGAGGACTTTTTATAAATTTATTTTTAGCCCATTTTAACATTGTGCATTTACAATTTAAGACCATAATCTCAAAATAGTATTAGATAAAGATAAGTATACACCACCATTCATTGTCAACCTATGTTCACTTGGTTATGACGGATGTATTTTTTTCGGCCACCATCTTGGATCTGCCATTTTGAAATGTGATAAATTAATTTAAATATGAAGGTGGTGTTGTGACCCATCATTTTGAACTACTTTTTTATGCTGAACTTAATGACGCAATCAGCTTTTCGTTATCAAGCTTTCTTGATGAAATAATGAAAACAACTAAATAACTATCGATATATCAGTGCTTATGTCATTCTTTTTGCCATTAGTCATCACCCTGATAAAAACCTGTTTAGGTTCAGAATGTACCATATCTGTAAAAAAGTAGTCTTTCAGGAGAAATTCCAGAATTGTTTCATAATTCCTTGACTTTTTCAGACCAACCAAAATTCCCTGACCATACCAATCCTGCTTAAACCACACCATTCTGGAACAACATAACCAATTTAAAAACTTAATTATCATCCAAAAAAAACATAACTGATATCCCAGGCATCTAATTGTGTTTCCTGCCTGACGGAGATTGATTTATATAATGTTGCCTAACCCAATAGGACCTGAAAGTGTTTGATTTATGGAAGAAATAAAAACAAATCCACATTGACTTTGATATTTAAGATATTATTAACTCTGAGTAAAATAAATGGGTTGGTACCACACTTATAAAAGGGTTATGTAAATTTTAATACCTTTCCTATAATCTTGTAGCATTTAAAAAAGAGATTTTTTAATTAGGAGATAATTTTAAATATGGTTCCTATGTTTCCTGGCCTCCCCGTGGCGGAACTGGATATGCCATACAGTTTTTTTCTAACTGACAGGGAAACAAAAATAACTTAATCTATTTTCATAAATATATATATGTTAACATTTACTATAATCTATTTACTTCATATAATACTTTACTATTATCAACTTATTAACTTATCAATCTAATCTGATATATTCTCCCCCTGCGGTTTCGGGGTTAGAATAGAACCGCAGCCTTCCCAGGCTTGTCGTAAGAGGCGACTAAAAGGGTGATCGACGCTCTCACTGAGAGTCCTTGGGAGTGCCCCTGTTGTGTTGCAGGGGTTGATGTGTGCTCTGCACTGCCGATGGGTATTCTCAGTGAGTTGTGAGAAGCCAGCCACTTCGGTCCTTGGTCAAGGAGTGCGGCATGGATGTAGAGGTCGGGCTCTACATTGTGACGGGTGACCCCCGGCACGTCAGGTATCCGGTGCTGGGAAAATGGAGGTTGGGCCTCGAGGAACTGGGGTAGGGGCACTGTCCCCAAGGGTATACCCGTTCCTGACTATTCCGGGCCGCCTCTTGCCGCACGATGCGCTGGTAAACACAAGATGGCTTTTAAAACAAATACCCTGAACACATCTATGATAAGCAGCTCAGATGAGCAAGAAAAGAGGTCGGAAGTAGAGCGAGACCCTTTTAGGCGATGCTCCAGGGTCCAGAGATCGCCAACAGCGAAAGGCGTGAAGACGTCCCCACCACCTGCAACTTTCAGGTGCACAAGAGACCTGACTTTGGGATCTTCCTTGACAAGTGGAGAAGGAAATGGTGGACCACCCTCTAAGTCTGGTATCCCTAACAGCAGCGTTAGAATCGGAAGTTTCGGGAATGATACTTCTGCGTCAGCAATATCTTGACGCAGAAAATAGCATTGAAAACCGACTCCAAAACATGGAGCAGACAATGAAGACAATGCTTGAAACCTTCAAGACGCAGAGAGGAGTTAACCAAGTGGTTAAAAATGGTATGGATAAGCTCGAGGACGACCTTGGTTTTGTCTTCGCCTGCCGGCTGGTGAGCAAGGCGGCCATGGAAAGGATCGCCGAGAAGGTAGTGTCCCTACCTGACGACAATGCGCGACCTTCCAAGAAACGCAGGAGGCCTACATCAGAAAGCCCTCCACAAAGAGAAGAGGTTGTTCAGACAGCAAAGCCTAAAGTTAAGGTCAAGGCGACCCTTACTTCTAGGTCCTTCTCTGACGTAGTTGCTGCTCCAGCGAAGCCTCGACAGCCACAGCAACCTGCGACACCCATTGAGGGTAGCTCCTGAAAGGGGTCAGTCGTAGAAACACCATCTGGGACTGTGTGGGAAAAGCGCCTTACGAGAAAGGAGAAGAGGAAACTGAAGCACGCGGAAGTCGGCTCCAAGCCGTTGTTTTTTTTTGCTTTATGTGGCAGTGAGGGCGCAGTCGACCGGCGTGGCCCAAGCTGCGCCTGGCTCGGCACTCGTTTCTAAAAAGTCGCGGCCCAAAAAGCCCAGGACAGAGGCAATCTTGGTCAAGCCTTTGGAGGGAAGATTATTCGCCGAAGTCTTGGGTGTTATCAAGGCCAAGGCTAAGCCAGAGCAAACCGACACGGTTGTACGGTTGATTAGACAAACCTGAGACGGGGACGTCCTCCTCGAACTGTGTAAGTCTAAAGATAAAGCCGCCTTTGCTGCCGAACTAAAGGCAGCTGTGGAAGGTCAGGGCACCGCTCTTGAACCCAAGACGTCCGTCGAGGTTCGGATATGTATTGTGTGTCAACAGAGGATGACGTCATTGATGCCCTAAAAAAAGCTGTCCCCGAGTTTGCTGGACAAACAGCTAGTATGAGGGTGTGGCTCACAAAACCAAACCGGAGTCAACAGCGGATATATCAGCGTCAGGCAGGGACGGTCGACGCTATTGAGGAGGTAAAGCGAGCCGTAATGAGAGCTGAGGAGTTTAGCAACTATTCTCGTCGGGTTGTGCTGTTTGTAACACTTGATGTGTGAAACGCATTTAACTCCGCGAGTTGAGATCAGATCACCCGTACGGCGGACAAGGCCGCTAAAATGGTTTCTTCCCTTAGTCAATTAATGGCCAATGTCGGAGGTCCGCGGTCCAGCCGCAGAAGGCTGTTGATGTCTGCGGTCCAGTCCGTGCTCCTGTACGGTGCGTGAGTGTGGTTAGACGCTCTCAATAAGGAGATATATAGGATGCGGCTCGCCCGAGTGCAGCGTCAGGCACCACTAAGAGTAGCATCTGCCTATCGAACAGTGTCCGAACCCGCCGTCCTGGTGGTTGCTGGAGTCATCCCCGTCAAACTTTTGGCGGCGGAGAGGAAGGCAATTTATCAGCGCCGTGGGGAGGACCAGGCAAGAATGGGGGAATGCACCCGGATCTTCCAGCTGTGGCAGGAGAGCCGGGAACAGGAGACAAGGGGGCAACTGATACAGCAAGTCCAACCTTGGGTTAATTGGCGGTGCGGAGAGGTGAACTTCTACCTCACCCAATTTCTGACGGGTCACGGCTTTTTCCGGTCGTACTTGTTCAGGATGGGCAAAGCCGTGTCACCCGATTGCATATACTGCCCAGGCATTCCCGATGACGTGGAACACACTTTCTTCCTCTGCCAGAGTTAAGAAAGGCCCCGCCTGGAGGCTCAACAGTTCGTAGGACTGCTGTCGGTGGACACAGTCATACCGATGATGATGGAGGGTGAGGACAATTGGACCTGTGTGTCACTTTACATCCAGGGTGTTCTCCGCGCCAAGAAGCTCGACCTTGACCGGGATGCGGTG